TACATTGGGGGTCAGTGGTGAGAATGTTCCTTACATTGGGGATCAGTGTGAAGAATGGTCCTTACATTGGAGGTCAGTGGGGGGAATGCTCCTTACATTGGGGGTCAGTGGGGAGAATGTTCCTTACATTGGGGGTCAGTGGGAAGAATGCTCCTTACATTGGGGGTCAGTGGGAAGAATGTTCCTTACATTGGGGGTCAGTGGGCAGAATGCTCCTTACATTGGAGGTCAGTGGGGGGAATGCTCCTTACATTGGGGGTCAGTGGGAAGAATGTCCCTTACATTGGGGGTCAGAGGGAAGAATGTCCCTTACATTGGGGGCCAGGGGGAAGAATGTTCCTTACATTGGGGGTCAGTGGGAAGAATGCTCCTTACATTGGGGGTCAGTGGGAAGAATGCTCCTTACATTGGGGGTCAGTGGGAAGAATGCCCCTTACATTGGGGGTCAGTGGGAAGAATGTTCCTTACATTGGGGGTCAGTGGGAAGAATGCTCCTTACTTTGGAGGTCCTCACTTTCGGTCCTGGTGACAACGGTCGGCAGAACGCACACCGAGGAAGAACGGGAACACTCCGCCGTACACCGAATAATAAAGAGAATAGATTTCACACACAGCAGGTGATATCCCCGGAGAGGGAAGGATCCAGCCACAGCCGAGGCCTCTAATCTGTTTGCTGCTCCGACAATGAGATAGAAGGAAGTCGGCACATTTATCTCTATCAGCGTCTCCTGTCATATTACGGATGCGGAGCCACCACTTATTTTCAGAGTTTCTGTGGAAATGAACTAAGAAGTAAATCTACTTTTTGTCTTCAATTCCTCCTGAAAGCTAGCAGTGTACTTCCACCCCCCCCGTTCCCTGTAATAGAAGAGGTATTATACTCCCCTCTCCGGTGTCCCGTGTCTCCTCCTCCCCTCTGTAATAGAAGAGGTATTATACCCCCCTCTCCGGTGTCCCGTGTCTCCTCCTCCCCTCTGTTCTCTGTAATAGAAGAGGTATTATACCCCCCTCTCCGGTGTCCCGTGTCTCCTCCTCCCCTCTGTTCTCTGTAATAGAAGAGGTATAATACTTCCCTCTCCGGTGTCCTGTGTCTCCTCCTCCCCTCTGTTCTCTGTAATAGAAGAGGTATAATACCCCCCTCTCCGGTGTTCCGTGTCTCCTCCTCCCCTCTGTTCCCTGTAATAGAAGAGGTATTATACCCCCCTCTCCGGTGTCCCATGTCTCCTCCTCCCCTCTGTTCTCTGTAATAGAAGAGGTATTATACTCCCCTTTCCGGTGTCCCGTGTCTCCTCCTCCCCTCTGTTCTCTGTAATAGAAGAGGTATTATACCCCCCTCTCCGGTGTCCTGTGTCTCCTCCTCCCCTCTGTTCTCTGTAATAGAAGAGGTATTATACCCCCCTCTCCGGTGTCCCGTGTCTCCTCCTCCCCTCTGTTCTCTGTAATAGAAGAGGTATTATACCCCCCTCTCCGGTGTCCTGTGTCTCCTCCTCCCCTCTGTTCTCTGTAATAGAAGAGGTATTATACCCCCCTCTCCGGTGTCCTGTGTCTCCTCCTCCCCTCTGTTCTCTGTAATAGAAGAGGTATTATACACCCCTCTCCGGTGTCTCCTCCTCCCCTCTGTAATAGAAGAGGTATTATACCCCCCTCTCCGGTGTCCCGTGTCTCCTCCTCCCCTCTGTTCTCTGTAATAGAAGAGGTATTATACCCCCCTCTCCGGTGTCCCGTGTCTCCTCCTCCCCTCTGTTCCCTGTAATAGAAGAGGTATTATACCCCCCTCTCCGGTGTCCTGTGTCTCCTCCTCCCCTCTGTTCTCTGTAGCCCACCCCTCACTACCCCCATTATGGGCCATGGAATGTGAGGCCAAGGACAGAGAATTCCTTAGCACCACAGTGGAAATCTTCATTTTTTTGCGCAGGATCAACCAGGAGAGAGGACAGAGGACTCTGTTTTCTCCCGTAGCAACGGCTAGAATCAGTAGCACAACAGTCCTGTAAGAGCGACTAGTAATAGAAACAGCACAGAGGACAGCCAGGAATAGTCCAGGACTTTAAGAGAGAACTGTCACAGGACTTGTGGTGCACCAACTGGCTTCTCTTCAGTAAAGTACCTGGGAGTAGGGTGAGGGATCTCTTACAGGGTTCCAGACGGCTCCTCTCACCAGCTCCTCTGCGACACTCCTCGATAAGCAGATTCCACCTCCAGCCCAACTTCCATCAGGATCCTTTCCAGTAGCACCTGAAGTCTCTGGGCCCCCAGCATCTGCCACATGCTGAGGCCCAGGCCAGACATCCTGTAGTATCTTAGGCCTCCAGGCCCCCCAGCATCTGCCGCATGCTGAGGCCCAAGCCTGGCATCCAGCAGTATCTTAGACCTCTAGGCCCCCAGCATCTGCCACATGCTGAGGCCCAGGCCAGACATCCTGTAGTATCTTAGGCCTCCAGGCCCCCCAGCATCTGCCGCATGCTGAGGCCCAAGCCTGGCATCCAGCAGTATCTTAGACCTCTAGGCCCCCAGCATCTGCCACATGCTGAGGCCCAGGCCAGACATCCTGTAGTATCTTAGGCCTCCAGGCCCCCCAGCATCTGCCGCATGCTGAGGCCCAAGCCTGGCATCCAGCAGTATCTTAGACCTCTAGGCCCCCAGCATCTGCCACATGCTGAGGCCCAGGCCAGACATCCTGTAGTATCTTAGGCCTCCAGGCCCCCCAGCATCTGCCGCATGCTGAGGCCCAAGCCTGGCATCCAGCAGTATCTTAGACCTCTAGGCCCCCAGCATCTGCCACATGCTGAGGCCCAGGCCAGACATCCTGTAGTATCTTAGGCCTCCAGGCCCCCCAGCATCTGCCGCATGCTGAGGCCCAAGCCTGGCATCCAGCAGTATCTTAGACCTCTAGGCCCCCAGCATCTGCCACATGCTGAGGCCCAGGCCAGACATCCTGTAGTATCTTAGGCCTCCAGGCCCCCCAGCATCTGCCGCATGCTGAGGCCCAAGCCTGGCATCCAGCAGTATCTTAGACCTCTAGGCCCCCAGCATCTGCCACATGCTGAGGCCCAGGCCAGACATCCTGTAGTATCTTAGGCCTCCAGGCCCCCCAGCATCTGCCGCATGCTGAGGCCCAAGCCTGGCATCCAGCAGTATCTTAGACCTCTAGGCCCCCAGCATCTGCCACATGCTGAGGCCCAGGCCAGACATCCTGTAGTATCTTAGGCCTCCAGGCCCCCCAGCATCTGCCGCATGCTGAGGCCCAAGCCTGGCATCCAGCAGTATCTTAGACCTCTAGGCCCCCAGCATCTGCCACATGCTGAGGCCCAGGCCAGACATCCTGTAGTATCTTAGGCCTCCAGGCCCCCCAGCATCTGCCGCATGCTGAGGCCCAAGCCTGGCATCCAGCAGTATCTTAGACCTCTAGGCCCCCAGCATCTGCCACATGCTGAGGCCCAGGCCAGACATCCTGTAGTATCTTAGGCCTCCAGGCCCCCCAGCATCTGCCGCATGCTGAGGCCCAAGCCTGGCATCCAGCAGTATCTTAGACCTCTAGGCCCCCAGCATCTGCCACATGCTGAGGCCCAGGCCAGACATCCTGTAGTATCTTAGGCCTCCAGGCCCCCCAGCATCTGCCGCATGCTGAGGCCCAAGCCTGGCATCCAGCAGTATCTTAGACCTCTAGGCCCCCAGCATCTGCCACATGCTGAGGCCCAGGCCAGACATCCTGTAGTATCTTAGGCCTCCAGGCCCCCCAGCATCTGCCGCATGCTGAGGCCCAAGCCTGGCATCCAGCAGTATC